TCTCTCTCTCTCTCTCTCTCTCTCTCTCTCTCTCTCTCTCTCTCGAACATACTAAGGCTATCTTCGGAAACATCAGCCGAGTGATTCTGTGTACCATTTTATTCTTGTTGTTCATCGAATGTTAAACAAGGATTCCGATACACGGAATCACTCGGGTGGTATTTTCGAACGTAATCCAAGTGTTTCGAGATCATTTCCAGCAAAGAGCGAAAAAACTGCTTTATGGAGATGAATTTATTTTCGATCGTTGCATTACGTGTGTCGACGAGCGATTCAGATCGGCGATTCAGATCGGCGATTCATATCAAGATTTTTTTTCCTCGTGCTTTTCCTTTTCTGGTAATCTTTCGTCCTCCGCTTCTCGATGACGATCTTCTTGATTCTTAGCATCTTAGATTCTTTCATCAATCGTTATTCATCAGTATGTCTAACCAAGTTCCGGATGTGGCTCGATCTCTATTCTCGGTTTTGTATTCGATGGTTAAAATCTAAATATAAAGTCGCTGCGCTCGCTCGCTCGCTCGCTCGTTGCTCGTCGTTGCTCGTCGTTGCTCGTATGTATGTACATACGCGCGGTGAATCTCATCGTCGTGTTGGACCACCCGGCGGCACAACTCGCTTTGATTCGCCTTTTCTAACGCCGGAAGTTATTCCATCGATTCAAGCCAATTTTTCCGTTTACTCACTACACTCTACATAGTACATATATCGTCAGATTCGAAACGGAAGCGATATCACGCGATTATGTGTGCGATATTCATGTGTCCGTATAGGCGCGTGCGCACGTCAGCTTATATGCGATGTATGCTCGTAATTCGCAAGAAATCTTGCGTATTCACAATAAATTCACTTTTTTCGCCCCTTTTTCCTCTTCCTCTTCTGCGCATTTGCCTGTTTTCTTTCTTTGTTATTTTATATACGGCAATGCGATATATGACAATTAAATTTATACTCGCTCCTCTTGTGTCGATTACTTGAACTCAGGACCAGGACTTGAATCGTTCGTTAAATAAAAGAGAAAAATTTAGTCTATTATATGAAAATATAGAATTAACACTTGCTATACATATGATATTTATATATAGAGAGAGAGAATTAGGAAAAAAAAGTCGTTGCGGATTACGAGCAACGTAGGAAGCGGTAACAAACTTCCCAAGTAGGGAACCAGGGAGGAAGTCAACAAGGGAGGAAGTCTATCCATCCGGAGGGGCTTTCACAAAACCTCATTCAGCAAACGAGTGAATAAGGAAAAAAAGCACCGCGAGACTGTAATTTTATCGTAATTAGCTCCCGCCAATGTTACGTTATATAATTTAATTGTGCCCTTGCTTGATTACGCGTCTCTTCCGATGTCTCTTGAGTCATGTGACACAACACGACATTTCTTTTTACTAAATTAAATCTCATACAAAGAATAAAAGAAGATATATTCGTCGAGCGGAGTAAACGAGGCAAGAATAAAGAACGAAATATTTATTCAGTAATATCAATATATCAATATCAATATTCGCGCGTCTATATGATTCTTTCCCGGTTGTTCCGAGTTTACGCGCAATCGAGACAAGAGAGAAAAAAGCGGTTGTTAAAAGAACATTCTCGTAATTACGAGAGAGAAGTATCGCGCGAGAGGCTAAGAACGGTTTCTAGATCGAGAGAAGCCCCACGCTATTCTCATAGTTTTCTCACGCGACCGTATGATCGTAATTGATCGCTTTTCGCGGAAAAGCAAGCTAACGTTTCTCAACCGTACCGCGCGATAACGAGAGAAAAATTGCGGAATAGTAGGAGAAACTCTTCGTGTGAGAGAAAGAGAGAGAGGGAAGAATCGGGAAGGGGAACGAAAGGTAAGCATTCGCGAAATCGTAGAGACAAAGTGATAATTGTACGTGATGTACGCAGACCGCGTGAATATCTTAGAATTGCATAAGTAGGACAA